AGATCCATGGAATAGGGTCCAAAAATAAACCCATATATTTATTTTTATTTTTATTATGGAGACAGCATCTTGCTCTGTCATCCAGACTGGAGTGCAGTGGCATGATCACAGCTCACTGCAGCCTCAACTTCCCGGACTCCAACGATCCTCCCACCTCAGCCTCCCAAGTAGCTGGGACCAAAGGTGCGCACCACCATGCCCAGCTAATTTTTGTATTTTTGGTAGAGACAGGGTTTCGCCATGTTGCCCAGGGTGGTCTCGAATTCCTGAGCTCAAGTGATCCGCCCACCTAGCTTTCCCAGTGTTGGGATTAGAGGCATGAGCCACTGTGCCTGACCAAACCCATACATTTACAGTCAACTGATTTTCCACAAAGGTGCCAAGACGATTCAATGAGGAAAGAATAGCCTTTTCTAAATTCATCGAGCTGCCAAGAATTCACTGAAAATCTGGTTGCAAACTGCCTTCAGGACAGAACTAGCAGTGTTAGGCAAAGGAAAAGTATAACATATCCTCGAATAACAGTTGTTTCGTTACAACCTTGATGAGGAAAAAAAAAATCAATTCTGGCAGGGCCCACTGTCTGTGTGGAGCTTGCACGTTCTCTCCACGTCTGCAAGGGTGTTCTCAAGGTATCTGGTTTCCTCCCACACCCCAAAGATGTGCATGTGATGTTCATTCCTGTTTTTATTTTCTTTTAATTAATTTTTTAGGAGACAGAGTCTCGCTCTGTCACCCAGGCTGGAGTGCAGTGGTGTGGTCTAGGCTCACTGCAACCTCCGCCTCTCGGGTTCAAGCAATTCTTGTGCCTCAGCCTACCTAGTTGCTGGGATTACAGGTGTGCGCCATCATGCCCAGCTAATTTTTTAGCAACGACGTTAAGTGAAGGCTTCCTGTATAGAAATCAACCACTACAAAATCTACAGAACTATGTGGGTTGCAGGATTTCCCCATGGTCCTTCTATTCTTAATTTTAGGATACATTTTCGAGGAGGTTCTTACCATTTGCAGAAAGAACAAGAGGGTCATTTTGGGTCTGAATGTGGAGTCTCCTGTCCCCATACAATTTTGTGAGTTCACTATATACTCAGTCCTATAGGATTTCTACTGATGGCTAGCCTTGGCTGGCAGGTAGGGATCATTCTCCCTAGACCAGGTGTCCCTAAAGTTTTTGGCACCAGGGACCAGTTTTGTGGAAGACAATGTTTCCACAGATGGGGTGCTGTGGGGGGCAGTGGTAGTTCAGGCATTAGATTTCTCATAAGGGGCCGAGGGTGGTGGCTCATGCCTGTAATCCCAGCACTTTGGGAGGCCAACGTGGGTGGATCACTTGAGGTCAGGAGTTCAAGAACAGCCTGGCCAATATGGTAAAGACCTGCCTCTACTAAAAATACAAAAATTAGCCAGGTGTGGTGGCACACAACTGTAGTCCCAGTTACTTGAGAGGCTGAGGCAGGAAAATCACTTGAACCCAGGAGGCGGAGGGTTCAGTAAGCCAAGACGAAGCCACTGCACTCCAGCCTGGGTGACAGAATCAGACTCAGTCTCAAAAAAACAAAACAAAACAAAACAAAACAAAACAAACAAAAAAAACAAATTCTCATAAGGAGCACACAACCTAGATCCCTCGCATGCACAGTTTACAACAGGGTTTGCACTCCTATGCTGTTGAGCTCGCAGGAGGCGGAGCTCATGCCATAAGGCTTGCTCACCCACCGCCCCGCCCAGTTCCTAACAGACCACAGACCATTATCAGTCCATGGCCTGGGGATTGGGGACCACAGCCTGGGGATTGGGGACCCCTGCCCTTGGGGACCCCTGTCCTACAGATTTTTAGGTTGGGTAAAGAAATCACATTGGTCAAAAACTAAATGCTGGGTCTTACTCCAAGCACCAGGAAGTGCCCTTGCCCTGGGAGCCTTGTCAGAGTCCTCTCATCTTGGCCCAAATGTAGCTATGAGGAAGAGAGAGCTAGTTCCTTCTCAGTGTGCTTACAGAGAGAGTTGAGGAAGAGGCCCAACCCATCCCTTCACAGCTACATATTCCCCACCCCTCCACCACCCCGCGCCCTACCCCCTCCACAATTTGGATTCAGTCTTGTGTAGTAGTTGAAAGTGAAGCACTGGGCCTGGTGTGGTGGCTCATGCCTGTAATCCCAGCACTTGGAAGGCCGAGGTGGGCAGATCACAAGGTCAGGAGTTTGAGACCAGCCTGACCAACATGGTGAAACCCTGTCTCTACTAAAAACACAAAAATTAGCCAGGCATGGTAGTGTGCGCCTGTAATCCCAGCTACTTGTGAGGCTGAGGCAGGACAATTGCTTGAACCTGGGAGGCGGAGGATGCAATGAGTCAAGATCACACCACTGCACTCCAACCTGGGCGAAAGAGCAAGACTCCATCGGGGGCGGGGAAAGAAAAATGAAGCACTGGAATCGCATAGTTTCTGAGCCAGAATCTCCATTCTATCCCATCCCAACTATTGACTACAGGCTGCCTCGTTCTTTTCTTTTCTTTTCCTTTCTTTTCTTTTCTTTTCTTTTCTTTTCTTTCCTTTCTTTCCTTCTTTCTTCTTTCTCTTTCTTTTTCTTTCATTCTTCCTTCTTTTTTTTTCTTTTCTTTCTTTCTCTCTTTCTTTCTGTCTCTCTCTGTCTCTTTTTTTTCTTTCTTTTCTTTTCTTTTTTCTTTTTTCTTTTTTTTTTTTTTTTTTTTTTGACAGAAACTCACTGTGTCAACCAGGCTGGACTGCAGTGGCATGATCTCGGCTTACTGCAACCTCTACCTCCTGGGTTCAAGCGATTTTCCTGCCTCAGCCTCCAGGGTAGCTGGGATTACAGGCACCTCCCACCACGCCCGGCTAATGTTTTTATTTTTAGTAGAAACAGGGTTTTACCATGTTGGCCAGGCTTTTGTCGAACTCCTGACCTCAAGTGATTTACCTGCCTCGGCTTCCCAAAGTACTAGGATTACAGGCATGAGCCACCGCACCCAGCCAGGCTGCCTTTCTGTGCCTCAGTCTTCTCACCTATGAAATGGGATAATAGCTACCTCTGAGGCATGTGTAAGGATTAAATGAGCAATATTTTGTAAGAGTTCAGCACAAAGTATGGTACCCAGATTGAACATATTAAGTTTTAGCTATAATAATAATTACTGGCTGGACAGGGTGGCTCATGCCTGTGATCCCAGCACTTTGGGAGGCTGAGGCAGGTGGATCACGAGGTCAGGAGTTCACGACCAGCCTGGCCAAGATGGTGAAACTCCATCTCTACTAAAAATACAAAAATTAGCCAGGCATGTTGGCGGACACCTGTAATCCCAGCTACTCTGGAGGCTGAGGCTGAGAATTGCTTGAATCCGGGAGGCAAAGTTTACAGTGAACTGAGATTGAGCCACTGCACTCCAGCCTGGGTGACAGAGTGAGACTCCGTCTCAAAATAATAATAATAATATCGTTGTTGTTGTTGTTGTTAGGACGGATGTCTACCTTAAATCTCGGCTCTCTCACCCTACGTAGCCTAGGCCTGGTCAGCACCATGGCAGATGCTTCATGAAACAACCCTCATGGAAATGGCATGGCATGGCAAGGGCCAACTGAGACCTCTTCACAGTACACAGGGGACTCCTGGGCCAAGATGCATGAGGCTTCCTAGGCTCTGGCCTTTCACCGAAACCCAGACAGGTGAAAATTCAGCCTTGGAGGCTGAGGCTGATAATTAGGGATGAAGATGCTAAGGGGTCTCCTCGGCTCATTTAAGGCTTTCAAAAACACCTGGGAGCTTGTTTGTCATTTCAGAGGGTGCCAGCCGAAAGACAAGAGAGATGTTAAATTGCCCCCCAAACAAGGAGCATGCTTGGTGAGTTTAGTTCTTGCTATTGCTTAAATGTCCTTGCCAAAACTCACGTTGAAACTGAGTCCTGAATGTGGTGGTTTGGAGAGGTGGTGCCTTTAAGAGGTGATTGGATCCTAAGAGCACTGCTCTCATAAATGGATTAATCCATTTATCAATTAATGGGTTATTAGGTTAATGGATTAGTGGGTCATCTTGGGAAGGAAACTGGTGGCTTTCTAAGACAAGGGAAAGAGCTGAACTAGCATGTTAGCACAATCAGCCCCTCACCACGTGATGCCCTGAGCCTCCTTGGGACTCTGCAGAGTCCCCACCTCTGCATCAGCCAGAGAGAAGGTTCTCACCAGATGTGGTCCCTCAGTCTTGGACTTCTCAGACTCTATAACTGTAAGAAATAAATTCCTTTTCTCTATAAACTCCACAGTTTCAGCCAGGTGTGCTGGCTCATGTCTATAATCCCACCACTTTGGGAGGCCAAGGCAGGAGGATCACTTGGGCCCAGGAGTTCAACGCCAACCTGGACAATATGGCCAAACCCCGTCTCTACAAAAAACACACACTCACACACACACACACACACACACACACACACACACACACACACACATTAGCCAGGCATGGTAGCAAGTGCCTGTAGTCCCAGCTACTCGGGTGGCTGAGGAGGGAGGATCATTTGAACCTGGGAGGCGGAGGTTGCCGTGAGCCAAAATCATGCCATTGCATTCCAGCCTGGGTGACAGAGCGAGATCCTGTCTCAAAAAAAAAGAATTCCCCAGTTTCAGGTATTCTGTTATAAGCAACAGAAAACGGACTAAAACAGTTCTCTATGAAGGGATTCCTTGTGGGATGATCCCTTCAGTGGCCCCTCCTCAAAGGTTATGTGGTGCCCGGGGGCCACTTGGTGAATAGCTGATGCCATTTGGAATTTTGGATGTGGAAGAAACACCATGTGTTACTAGTTCAGTGCTTCACCTCTCTGCCTCCTCCACGCCCAAGTTGTATGTATAACCTCCTACAACAAATACAACAGATAAAACAACATCTGTTCTAGCGTTTTCTCAAATTTGTTTCATGGCATTCATGGGTGCTCTGGGCAAAAGTGTTCCATAGCCAGATACGTTTAGCAAGCACTGGGTTAAACAACATCAGATAGTTGTCTTTGCTGCAGGACTTTTCAGAACCTTTAATATGTTAGTACAACTTGTATTCATGTTACTTAGTCTCAATTATCCTCAATTTTCTGTGGCTCTGGGCAGTTGGCCTCTTTGATTTTCTGAGCTGTCCTTTCTTCTGAAGACTCATGGAATAACAGCCCCCAGCTGTTCTTTATAATGCCAGACCCAGAGAAGGTAGAGGGATTTCGGTGATGAGAAGGGCCCCATGTTGGGCTGAACCCTTCTCCAGGCACTGACTTTGTGGCTTTCTCTCACCTCATGCTTCTTTGAGGAAAGAAGTGAGGGATAAGCAATGGCTTATGAAGGAGCACATTGATTTGTTGGCTGAGGGGAGAAGGGAGTTCTTGTGGGGGAAGCAGCAGTCGCTGGAGTCTTCAGAGGTGGGATGGTGGCATTTTGGACAACTTCTTTTCTTCCAGGATTCTCCCAAAGAGCTTGGCTGCCTCCAGAGCACATCCCCAGTGGATGGTGAGCCCATAGCCTCCATGGCCATAGTTGTGGATGACCTAGGAGAAGCAAGAGAGAAGGTGGCCAGGTCCGAGAGAGACAGTGGAAAGAATAGATGAAGCTCTTCTGCCCTGGAAGACTCAGGAGCCTCCTGAAGAGTCCTGGGCAAAGCCAGATGCCACCAGTGTTTCTCTTGGCACCCAGGGGGAATGGTGGGGACCCCCTGGGACAGTAGCAAGAGATGATGGGGCAGCCACAAAATGGATATCTAGAAAATAGCCTCAGAATCAAATTCAAATCACATCCCAGTAGTCTGACTTGGGCAAGTGACTTCACCTCTTAATTCACCCCGGTTTCCTCATCTGAAGCATGGGGAGAACTGTCCCTATCCCAAAGAGCTCCAGAGGAGATTTAATAAGGTCATTCATGTAATGGACTTGCTGCCGTGTGTGACACGAAGTACACATCCAGTAAGTACACATTTTCCTGCTATTTGACCACAGACTTTAGAAAACCAACCCCATTCACCATTTCACCACCACCATTAACACTGCTATTGATACTGTCATATCTGCCACACCATTAATATCACCACTGAGACAGTTGGTGCAGCCATGTTAACACTGCCTTTGAGATTGTCACCTCTGCTGAGGTATTAACATCCTTGATAGTGTCATTTCCATCAGCACCAACTACCATCCCCACTCCCAATCACGCCATTATCAACATTGATCTCATCAGCACCACCTCCATTAATATCACCACTGCCCCTCTATGTAACCTTGAGCAGGTCCTTAATCATCATTGAGCCTCAGTTTCCCCATTTATAGAGGAGGGGATATTAGCCACCACTGCCCCTGCCTGCCAGGGAGCCTGTGTGGAACCTGAGATCAGACATGACTGTTTCATGAAAATGCCAGAGCCATCTAAGGAGTGGAGGAGGGCATTACTTTCCTTGCTGTGGGAGTATACCTCTGTGTTTGAAGGTCCAACGCGAAGCTGTTCTCTTTCTAGCCGAATCTGGGGGCGTACTGGCCGGAAGCCAGTTCGCTCATCAACAATTCTTGCATTCTGGAAAGAAACGTGCTGATCACTCATTTCTGGATTTTTTTTTCCTGCGGCCATTTTTAGGTAGAAAGTAGTTTTTAGAATCTCATCACCACCAACACTAATATAATCACAGTCACCTTTATCAATCACCACTACCACCAACACCATCTTTATCAGCTACCAATATCATTACCATTATTGCTTCTACCTCTCCACCAATTCCATCATCAACCACCACCCTCACCATCAGCCACCACCATAATTCTAACAATAGTCACCATCTTATCACCATCATTATTACCATTCTCAGCATTTTCCTCACCATCAATACTAACTCATCCTCATCACTGTCACTACTGTCATCATCACTCGCAGACAAACGTGAAAGCCAAGGGCTGTCAGACATGACCAGACAGGATTCATTAGCCCATAGCAAGAACTTCCCTGTACATTGTCAAGTTCTGTTATATTCCACATCCCTTGCTGGAATTAATTTGCCCAATTATCCCAGCGGTGGCATCTTCCCATCCTGAAGTGTCCTCATTAACAAGCTCCTAGGACCTTGGTCTAGGGCACTGCTACTCTTCCCTACCTTACCTTCAGAGTAGGCTCCAGTCTGCAGCAGCCTTCCCAAATGGTGTTGTGGTCCTGGATATTGTTTAGCTCATTCCAGTTTCCCAGCTGGAAGATGCCTCCAAGAGTAACTGTCTGGGTCCTAGATACAAATGAGGAGGGTCAAGGATCAAGGAAAATGAAGGCTTTGAGATGAATAAGGTCATTACCATCAACCTTGTCACCTCTGCTAACAACACCACCATCACTAACTCAATTGTCACTGTCATCACCATCAATACCAACCATGAACTCTTCCATCACCACTTCCATCAGTGTTGTCATCTCCATCAACAACATTGTCTTCACTACTATCATTAATAGGTCATCACCACCAACGGCATTCATCATTTCACCACCACCATTAACATTGCCATTGATAATGTCATTTCCATGACACCAGTAACATTGCCATTGAGACCACATGGTTGGTGCAACCATGTTATTAACATTGCCTTTGAGATTGTCAGCTCTGCTACATATTAATATCATTGATAGTGTCATTTCCATCAGCACCAACTATCATCCCCACTCCCAATCACACCTTCATCAGTACTGATCTCCTCATCAGCACCAGACCACCTCCATTAACATCACCACTCTACCACTCTTATGCCAATCACCACCCCCATGAATGCTGTTCTTCCCCATCACTACAATATTATCCCTACTACCACCATTCCGCTATCAACAATATTGTCATCCCACAAACACCACCACTGGTTTCGGTGACATTGTCATCTCCCCCATTAACATTACCACCACCATCAACCCCAATCACCATTCCCATTCCCACTCCCATTATTGCCATTCACACCACCTTTTTTTTTTTTTTTTTTTGGAGATGGAGTCTCACTCTGTGGCCCAAGCTGGAGTGCAGTGGTGTGATCATGGCTTACTGTATCCTCAACCTCCCAGGCTCAAGCAATCCTCCCATCTCAGCCTCCTGAATAGCTGGGACCACAGGCATGCACCATCATGCCTGGCCAATTTTTGTAGAGATGGGATTTCGCCATGTTGCCCAGGTTGGTCTTGAACTCCTGGGCTCAAGCAATCCTCCCACACTGGCCTCCCAAAGTGCTGGGATTACAGGCATGAGCCACCTACATACCACTTTTAGTGTCACCGCATTACATCCACTGCCTTTATCTTCAGCATCACCACTATTGTCATCCAAAAGAATGTTCATGGTAGACCTCAGTCAAGGCTGAGTCTGCCTTCCCAGGGATTCAGTGGTTCAAACTCACTTTAAAAACATTGAAAGGGTCCAGGCACAGTGGCTCACGCCTGTAATCCCAGCACTTTGGGAGGCAAGGGTGGGTGGATCACCTGAGTCAGGAGTTCAAGACAGGCCTGGCCAACATGGTGAAACCCCGTTTCTACTAAAAATACAAAAAATTAGCTGGGCATGGTGGTGGGCACCTGTAATTTCAGCTACTTGGAAGGCTGAGGCAGGAGAATTGCTTGAACCCGGGAAGCAGGGATTGCAGTGAGCTAAGATTGTGCTATTGCACTCCAGCATGGGCAACAAGAGGGAAACTCTGTCTCAAAAAATAATAATAAATAAATAAACACGTTAAAACACTGAAAGGGAACAACTGTGGGCAGTAAGGAGCCTGGGGCAGGCAGCAGGGGCATGAAGAGGGCGTGAAGGGGACCCCTCTTCTGCCCGAGAACAGTCCGATTTTACCCTGGGATGATGTACGGGGAATTGTAGATGCCGCTCTCTGGCTCATGGGTGAGAATGAAATGCTTTATCCAAGGGGCATCCACCTGTTGGTTCAAGGCAGGAAAGTCTCATCAGCAGAGGTGAATCAGTGCGGCTGTCCTTGCTCCCCTCTGTGGCCAGATGACCTGACAAGAGTCAGGTCTGATTCCTTATAAGACCTCTCACAACGCTATGGCCCAAGTGTGCACCTGGCTGTTTGCCTCTTGCAGGAAGAGCCGCCCTGATTGGCAGCCACCCCTGCTCCCTGAAGCATTGTGTCTCCTCACCCACATGTCTGAAGAAAAGCACCAGTACACACATGTAAATGCATACACATGAGAAATAAAAATAAAATTCTAAGCCCCCAGCTGAATGAACAGACCCCCTCTTGGCCCTAGGAGCCCCAGAGAAACCTTGGAGCTGAGTTCACAGCCGCGGTGGGATGGGAGGTCTAACATGTCTCATTATATCCCCTCCCTCAATGACCTGACCAAAGTCAGGCTTTCTTCCCTAAGTGGTAAGCAGAAACCAGCCCTTTCAACAGACTCCACACTGATGATGTCATTGACCAGCTTATCTTCCCAGGTACAGAACTTCCTCCATTCCTTTTTTCTTCAAACCTTCAATTATTATTATTATTATTTTTTGAAACGGAGTCTTGCTCTGTTGCCCAGACTGGAGTGCAGTCTTGGCTCACTGCAACCTCCACCTCCCAGGTTCAAGTGATTCTCCTGCCTCAGCCTCCCGAGTAGCTGGCATTACAAGCGCCTGCCACCACACCCGGCTAATTTTTTGTATTTTTAGTAGAGATGGGGTTTCACCATATTGGCCAGGCTGGTCTCGAACTCCTGACCTCGTGATCCACCTGCCTAGGCCTCCCAAAGTGCTGGGATTACAGGCGTGAGCCACTGCGCCTGGCCCAAACCTTCATCTTATCTTATGTAAAATGTAGATTTACTGGGCACTAACTAAAGTCTCACAAGTATGTAATCATTCTTTCACTGCTGCACCCTTCTCCTGCTTTTTTAAAAAAGAAAACATATAAAGACTAAATCTCCCAAGAATCTCTTTGGAAAAAAGAGCCACAGGTGCATCTGTGACTCGCATTTTTCCTGGGCGTGCCTTCAAGCTGGTTCCATAAACCTTGATGATTTCAGACGTATGCCTCAGTCACTCATTTTGGTTGTCACACCCATCAGCCCACATTAGGAATACATGCATGCACCCCTACACACATAAGCATACACACGTGCACCCCTATGAACACTCACAGGTGCACATGCACACATACCCTCACACACGCACACACACACCATCACACATATGCACACATACCCTCACACACATGCACACACCCTCACATATATGCACACATCATCACACACGTACATACACCCTCATATACATGCACACACACCCTCACACATATGCACACACACATACCCTCACATGCATGCACATACATACCCTTACGTACATGCACACACCCTCAAACACGTTCACACACCCCCTGTACACATGCACACACCCACACCCTCACATACATGCACACACCCTCACACACATGCACACACACCCCTTGCACACATGCACACACCCCTCACACACGTGCACACACCCTCACACACATGCACACACACCCTCACATACATGCCCCCACACACCATCACACACATGCACACACATACCCTCACACACATGCCCACACACACCATCACACACATGCACACAATACCCTCACACATGCACACATCCTCACATACATGGGCACCATCACACACGTACATACCCTCATATACATGCACACACATCCTCACACATGCACACACACATCACATGCATGCACACACATACCATACGTACATGCACTACACCCTCACACACACATGCACACACACCCTTCGCACACATGCACACACACCCTCACATGCATGCACACACACACCCTTCACACACATGCACACACACCCTCACACACAATACACACCCTCACACACATTCACACACACCCCTTGCACACATACATACACACCCCCACACACACACACATGCACGCATCCTCGCACACATGCACACACATACCTCACACACATGCACACACCCTCACACACATGCATACACACCCTTGCACACATGCACACACACAGCCTCACATGCATGCACACACCCTCACACACATGCACACACACCCCTCACACACATACACACACACCCCTCACACATGCACACACTGACACACATGCATACATACACCCCTCACACACATGGACACACACTCCTCACATATATGTATATACCCTCAGACACATGCACACACACACACCCCTTGCACACCTTGGACTCACACCCCTCACATACATGCACACTCACACACATGCACACACACCCCTCGCACACATACACACACCCCTCCCGCACATGCACACACACATACACACACACCTCTCACTTGCACATGCACACACACCCCTCACACACATGCACACACACCCTCACATACATGCACACACCATCACACACATGCACACACCCTCCCACACACATACTCCACATACCCTCCACATGCATGCACACACACACATACCCTCACATACATGCACACACCCTCCTCACACATGCACACACACCCCTCACACAAATGCACACACACCCTCACACACACACACACACACCCTCACATACATGCGCACACACCCACACACATATGCGCACACACACACCACATCTACGCACACCACACACACCACATACACGCACACTCACATACATTCACACACACATACCCTCACGCACATGCACACACACAGCAAGAGGAGGCATGGAACAATGCTTGCACGCACAGGCTTTTAAGCCAGGTTGCCGGGCTTCCAATCCCAAGTCCACTTCTTACTACCGTGTGAACTTGTGCCTGTTACTTAAATCCTCTTTGCCTCAGTTTCTTCATCTGTAAGATGGCAATGACGATATGGTAGTACCCAGCTCAAAGGGCTGTGGCCATCACTAAATTAATTAACAAAATAGGCTGAATGTGGCGGCTCACGCCTGTAATCCCAGCATTTTGACAGGCCAAGGCGGGGGGATCACTTGAGCCCAGGAGTTTGAGACCAGCCTGAGCAATATGGTAAAATCCTGTCTCTACAAAATATGTAAAAAAAGAGCTGGGTATCGTGGTGGCATGTTCCTGTAGTACTAGCCACTCAGTAGGCTGAGGTGAGAGCCTGGGAGGTCAAGGCTGCAGTGAGCCATGATCAAGATACTGTGCTCTAACCTGGGCAACAGAGCGAGACCCTGTCTCGAGAATAATAATAATAATAATAATAATAATAATAAACACAATAAAGTGCTTAAGCCTGTATCCAGTGCTTGGTAAACACTCCATAAATGTTTGCTATTTTTATTACAATACAGGCATATGCTGCTCCCACATAGGTACAAGAACATACACGTGTGCTTCACGATCAAGAGGAAATCCTGAAAGAGAGCAAATGGGGGTGGGACAAGTTTGGATTTTAACATGTCAATTCTCTGCAGTCTTGGGGGGCTCCTCTAACAAATGTTCCTGATTTGTCCACGATCTTAAGAGATTGAATAAGCATGCGGAATGATCTCCTACCAACAAAAGGCAGGGGTCTCACCCTCATACTCACCTTAATGATCTGCCCCCGACCTGGCTGCAGCAGGGGGTCTGGTTGCAGCGCCCCAGCCCATACCCCAGTGCAGTTGACAATCACATCTGCGCCTTCTCTTGCCACCTGGTAACAACCAACAGGGTAGTGGGGGATGAAAAGTGGGGAAGATCCTGGTATTCCCTGTTCTCTCTTCCCCTTTCTTCTACCCTCAATCTGTCTACTCCCTGATGAACTGTGGGGAGAGGTCTCAATGACAAATCAGAGAGGCCTGGCTCCAAATTTTCACCCTGCGATTTATCTGATGTGTGACCTTGAAAATGGCTCTTTACCTCCTTAACGCTCAGCTGCCTCTGTAAAATGAGGCTGCCCGTGCCTGTTTACAGGCTGCTATGAGGCTCCTGTATAACTCTGGATATAAAAGTGGTTGTAAAGCAGTTCTTTGGATGGGGGAAATCTTCCTGGAACCTCCCAAAAGAAGTCAGAAAGGAAGTAGAGATAGTTATCTTTCTCCTTTTGACTCCTTTTAACTTTATTCTCTTGCCTTCTGGTTTGCCAAGACATTTGCAGAAGACACGTTGGAATCCCTAGCTCTGTCTACAGATGAGATGGTCTCATCTCAAGCATGCATGATGAGCCCCTAAGCTCCCCAACCCAGCCCCAGGGACTCTCATCAAAAGACAGTCATGGCACAGACACATTGCAAGATGCTACTATTGTTCCTGAGTGAATGATTGAGAATGAGGGCTGCATTGGGTAGACCATGTATCTCCAGTGTCCATCAGGGCCCGACTCAGAGCAGGTTAGTCCTCATGACATATGGAGTGCCTTCCATATGCCAAGCAGGGTTCTAGATGCTGGGATCAAATGAAGCCATACACTAAAGCTCTTGTTGCTGGTGCCTGGAGACGGTGGCTTTTCCTATCATTATTATTGGTGGTGGTGTTGCTTTAGAGGTGAGTCAGCTGGGGGCCTGGACTTTGTAGAAAGACCAACCCAGATGTCAGTAGGGTTAAGAAGCAAGCGTCTGACCTTGGAGTGCAGCTGACACTGAGAAAAGGTGGCCAGCTCTCTAACCCCAAAACTCATCGAATCTCAGATATAAATCAGCTCCTAATGGCCACCATGATCCCAGTGTTCCTTTGTTCCTACCACCAACATGAAGGCAGAGACCTCCTCCTTCAGAATACCGGAGTCCTCCTGGGGCAAGGGTCTAGGGCAGGCCTGTGGGGACCCTAGGAGCCTGAGAAGGGGCCCCCGACACAGCAGCAAGAAGCAGAGGCCTCCCCTCTTCTCCCTCCCCCATCCACTGCATCAGCCCTGCAGCTCACCTCCTCAAAAGACTCCACCTTCCGCTGGAAGAACTTCACTCCCCTCTCAGTTAACCTGGGATGATCAAACACATCAAAAAGCCTAGGATTCATTTCTCTGTCCCATCCCGCCAAGAGGGTGGCACAGGAACCTTTCCCAAAGAACCTTCTGCAGACGTTAGTCGCACAGGATGCTGTTTGAGAAGATGGCTGTGTCGTCAAATCAGCTCATGAGCACCTGGCTGGACTGGTGGTCCAAAAAATCTCCCTTGGGAAACCACAGATGGTCCAAGCCCCTTGTTGGGCAGATGGAGTTGGGGAAGGGCCTTGCTGAAGGCCATAGAGTGAGTCAGTGATGGAGCTGGAACTCAAACCCAGGCCTCTTAGCCCCCAATACTTCCTATGACCACCACATTGCTTTGTAAGAGTAAAGGGGATGAGATTCAGAGTAGAGAAGGGGAGTTGTACCAGTGCCAAATTCCCCTTTGTCAGAAGCTGGGCATGAGGAGGGAGGTGGGCTGAGGACACCCACCCTTCCTTTAAACATCCCATTGCAAAAATATCTATCACAGTTAGAAATACACTAGAAACGGCCGGGCACGGTGGCTCACGCCTGTAATCCCAGCACTTTGGGAGGCCAAGGCAGGCAGATCACGAGGTCTGGAGATGAAGACCATCCTGGCTAACACAGTGAAACCCCATCTCTACTAAGAATACAAAAAAAAAAAAAAAAAAAATTAGCCAAGTGTGATGGTGGGCGCCTGTATTCCCAGCTACTCAGGAGGCTGAGGCAGGAGAAAGGTGTGAACCTGGGAGGCGGAGCTTGCAGTGAGCTGAGATTGTACCACTGCACTCCAACCTGGGTGACAGAGCAAGACTTTGTCTAGAAAGAAAGAAGGAAGGAAGAAAAGAAAGAAAGAAAGAAAGAAAGAAAGAAAGAAAGAAAGAAAGAAAGAAAGAAAGAAAGAAAGAAAGAAAGAAAGAAA